GTCACACTGGCCCAGTGATAGGCAACAAGAAAGAACAAAGAAGGTGCTGGAGTTAGAATCAGAGGGTCCAAATCCGTCCGTGATCTGGTCCTTACTATCACAGTGGCTTTGGGTGAACTAGTTGATCTCTCTGAGACTCAGTTTCCTCGGCTGAAAAATGGAATCAACACAACCTGCTGTTCAAGGGTATTCAAGGTTAGGATCAAAATATATTCTAAAAATCTGTTTCATTCCCCCATTCATGAGTCAATTTCATTCATTTGCCCCAGACTCTTACGGGAGGACTTGAGCAGCAGCGCCGGCAGTGTCTGCCGAGGTGTTGCGAAGGTGCACTATGGGAGGAGAAGGCACCTGTGAGGCAGACAGGGGTGCGGAGGGGCGAGAGCCTCACGCCCCTCCCCCCCAGCCCTGCAGGGGCCCATCTTCCGGCCTGGCCTTTCAAGGGGGCCTTTGGGGAAGTCGAGTTCAGCGTCCTGGGGCCACAGTCAGGGCGGGTCACAGCCGGAAGCCTGGCAGCCTAGTGCTGCCTGCCTCACTTCCCCACAGCGCCCACAGCTGGCTGGCGTGCGTGTCCATCACTGCGCTACTTCCCTACCCATGAAAGCAGATTAGAAAGCCACTTTTTAGAAGTGACATGTTTACATGGACACCACCACTTATCGTCACCATTACAAACCCTTTATGCACATTGCCCCCCGCCCCGACTGCAGTTCTTTATTAGTAATAACACATTCCAGTGGTAGACCTCACAAAACATGGAGGCAGCCCAGTGAGTCACATACCAGCACCCCAGCCCACAATTTTAAATATCCTTCCGCCTTCACGCTCCATCCCGGGAGCTCCATCCTTCCTTCTACAGGTCCTACAAATTCCTCTCTCAATTTGTGGTCTCTTAATTTGCTACTCGACGCCGTTGTAAGTAAAGACAGATTAGAATGCTAAATTATGGGCATGAATTTTACCATTCATCTATATACTATGCAATGCCAGTTTCAAATGCAAATATAAGAGCAGTTAACTGCTGTGCAGAGTCTCCGAAAATTACAGAATTCACATTTCATAGCTCACGTATGCCTATGTATTCAATTCTTTACCAGAGCATTGTAAATGCCACACAAACACAAACGGCGCTCAACTGTGTTTATTTTGCTTCTTGATGTGCACACATTTTATCCACGCTCTCTACCCTCGGTTTACTGGTAGGAAGGGCAGCCCCAAACGAAAGGAACTGCAGGGTGTCCTAGCTTTCCTCCTCTTCTGCCGTCTTCAGCCTAAGTGTTTGACTACTACAGGGAAGTACCATGAGTAAGAAAAAACAAGACAGAGTTCTTTGGTTGGTCATGTTTCTTAAAACATCCCTGCCTTCCTTCCGCATTCAAAGCAATTTTGGTTCGAACAGGAAAGGTACCTCTCGGGATTGTCCGCTGCCTGCTTTCTCAGTCCTAGACACCATACGCTTACCTTCGCACTGCGTCCGCTGAACTCCCACACAGTGTAAGGGCACTGAGTTTCTGTGCTCACTGGGTATCCTGAGCGCTGGAAGTAAACGGGGCAGACAGAACAATGGATCGTTGTCTCCTCTGCTCCCGGACTTGCTGCATTGTCCCATCAGACTTCAGGTACAAAACGCAAGTTCAAAGATAAAATGATTAAGAATTCAAGATGGCAACAACAGAGGTTTAAACCAAGCTCAGGGTCCTCTTAAGCATGGAGTGCCATGTGGCTCTCAGGTCACATGCCCGTGAAGCTGCCCCTACCCCAGTGCCTGTGCTCCTGCCACCCTGTCCCCTGCAGGCCTGGTGGCCTCAAGATGTCCCTTCCCGCTAAAGGGCCCCCAGGGCATCCGCCCCTCTGCCTGAAACTCAGTTTCCTCCCTCCTGGCCTGGGCATGTCCCTCCTTCTCCTCCTGGGATCTCAGCTCAGCTGTCGCATCCGTAGGTAGTGCTCCCCGCCCGGCAGACAGGTCAGAACTGTCTTAGTACCGCGGAGCTCTCCTTCAGTCACGCATCAAGATCACTGTTCTTTATTTAGGGATGTCATCATCGGATTGCTTATTGTCCCCCCCGCTGAACTGCCAGCAGCATATATGCTAAGACTGTGTTTGGTTTTGCTCATCCGTGTTTCACCAGTGCTGGGCACGTAGTCCCTAATCAATACCTACAAGGTGAATGAATGGATAAAAAACTGAATGCGTGTTTTTGCAACAGGAGCACAAGTATCAGATGAAGAGGTGGGATGAGGGCCGCATGAATTCCAGCTTTTGTTCGAAAGAGGCTAAATCCTGTCTCATACTGAGCTGGTGAGACTATGTGAGCATCACATACCCTTGTTTCCTTGCTGTCTCCTCTGGGTAATGAGTGCTCAAGGATTGGCCGTCCTTGTGTTATAAGGGATCCAAGTGCTTTCCTTTGTGTCTCTGGTGCCACAGGCAAGTTCCTGGTGCTTGCTCGGCTCTGCGAAAGTTCTGGTCCATTGAACTGAACTGAGCTGGACTTGGATGAAACGTGTGGCCCCGAAGCTTCCTATGTCTCTCCCTCCCCTGTGTCTCCTTTTCCTCTGTCCTCTCCTTCCCTCTTGTTAAGGATTTCTGAGTCTTGAGAACCATTTTAGTTGTGATCAAATGTTTCCAACAGAAAATGACCCTCATTTATTTTCAGTTTAACTCGACTCTTCAAAGAAAAATGGTCTGATTGGTCCTGTAATCATGCAGTGGTTGGGCACTCCAGAGACTGCCCCAGAGCCAGGATGGGCACATTTGCTGGTAATATTCCCACGTTGGCCTTGATCTTGGGAATCACAAGGCAGGCACTTCAGAAGTTCATGCATTCAACAACAGCCAACTCAAAGCAGAAATTAAACTCGAGAACCAGATGAAACCTACCCTTCCGCCCTGAGGGCTGCAGGTTTAACCCTGTCCAAGAGGCAGTACAGTGTCACCCCCGACCCTGAACAACAGTGACAGAGTGCGAATCGGCCCTCTTGGTGGGGCCCAGTCTGCAACCTGTCTGTCTTATCCATGATTCCACACCTACATCTGAGAAATGGCCAGGAGGGGGTGTAGTGAAAATGGAGTGCTCATAATGAAATTGAGGATCGATGAAATAATAAAAAATAAAAGCCTACAGGTAAGATTGGTATTGATTGACCATCTCAGAAAACATTGTTAGTAAGAGATCAGGGCATGCTTCCTATATGTAAAATGGGGGATTTCTCTCCAGAGTGAGACCTGAATGGGAATATAGAATGCTACTGGAAGCAATCCCCAGTGCAGTGCCCTTGAAATTACGGGGCTGCTTATGGATGGTGCGGTGGAGGAGAAAGGGCCCGGTTCAGGGGTTAGCCAGCCATACCTGGGGTTTACACTGTCTTCAGCTCTGTGACCTGGAGCAAGTAATAACCTCTCTGATTCTGATTCTCTTCCTCCTCCTCCTCCTCTTCCTCTTTCTCCTCCTCCTCTAACTCCTCCTCCTCCTTCTTAATTTGACAAATCGGCATAAAGCACCTGCCTCCAGGTTTGCTATGAAGATTGAATAAGGTCACCCAGGTGGAGATCCAGAGCTCGGCACTAGGTACAGAGCAGGCGTGCGGTCGTGTTACCCCTTCTCCCCACAGCATCAGGAGACTGTTCCTCTCTGGAACAGCTGGCCAGGGCCTGGACTAGAGGCAAGAAAACACCTGATTGCCTCCAAAATGAGGACCCCCTTAAATTGTGCACACTAGGCACCTCACCCCGGTGCCAACAGTGTTGGGACACATCAGAGTAGATGCCCTCCTCCAACACCATCTCCCGAGCCATTTTCTAGGTGACACAACTGAGACCCACAGTCATCATAATTCAACTACAGCAGTGAGTCAAAGTGGAAAACCTAGAACGTGACTCAAAGCCTCCAAGTCTGGGAGGTTCCAAGTCTGTGTTTTACCCCCAGCAGCCTAGAGATGAATTCTTTGCTGCCCGTGTCGTGTGATGTTTACCACCCCCCTCCCTTGCACCATGAGTGGGCTTTCTGGACATCTACACACTGTCTCCCTGACAAGTCAGGAAGAGAATGTGTCTCAAGTTTTCAGTATTTCACAAGGCACTTACTACACGGCTTACTTGCAGTCGGGGTTCAAGAAATAAATATCCATCAATTGAGAAAAAGAAGATGTTTTCATGGCCTCATAATTTTAATGCAGAGAAATAGTTATAATACACATTAACCCAGCTGAGGGGGAGAAATGCATTAATTTCACAACATGTTCAGCTCTTTAAGAAGTTAGCTTTTCAGGCTCCACGGGGCTTCTGGAACTCAGACTCACGCCTGCTGTTTTGAGAAAAAATTGCACCTGATTGGTGCCCCTCTCCCGCCAGGGAAGTGGTGGGTGGAGAGACTTAATGGAGGCTGGAGGGGTGGGAAGCTGGCTGCAGCACCATGGGGCATTGAAGCCAGGAGGAAAGGACAGAGCAGAGCTGCTCACATTTAGTGAGCAGACAAATACCTCACCAGGGAACCTGGTTTAAAAAAAAAAACCACAACAACCTGTAATCTGATTCAGGAGTCCAGGTCAGGCCTGGGAGTCTGTATTTTCAACGAGTTCCCCAGCAATGCTCACGCTGGTGGTTCAAGGGACAAACAATTATGCAAGCTTTGGCCTTTTTCTCCTTCCTCTACAGCCATTTATCTTTAGGCTGTGGGCAAAATCCTTGTTCTCACACCAGGCGAGGGCAAGCGGCAGCAAACTAGGACAGTCACCAGTCCCCCCGCAACCGTGACTCCCCTCCTTTCTGCCGGATACACTTGATGGGTGACATTTCCATGTGTGAAACGCTTCAATTTTACCATCCATGAAACGAGCATGTTGATCTGGGTCTCTGGAGGCCTCTTTTTCCAGTGTGACAATTCTTTGTGTGGAGGAAATGGCCTGGAGGTTTTGGGTTTGCAAATCTGGCCCAAGAGAAGCTCTGTCTTCCGTCTGGCAATTCTCAGGATCCCCATTCACTGTCTTCCATCCTTCTGCAGGGGAAATTTGCGCGTTCAAGATCCACGGCCAGGAGCTGCCCTTTGAGGCCGTGGTGCTCAACAAGACGTCGGGAGAGGGCCGGCTGCGCGCCAAGAGTCCCATTGACTGTGAGCTGCAGAAAGAGTACACGTTCATCATCCAGGCCTACGACTGTGGCGCAGGGCCCCGGGAGACGGCCTGGAAGAAGTCGCACAAGTGAGTGGCCGGAGAGGGATCCCTGCACCCCTACCCCCCACCCCACTTCCCTCCCACCCTTCGGTACCACACCCTGCTCTTCAGGTCTGTATACCCAGCGGTCATACCATGGTTCTTCTGCCAGCTCCCCGGGCCCCTGCAGGCATCAGCACAGGCGGAGTCCTCCACCTGCAATACTCTGCCCCTGTGCCTCCCTTGAAAATATTCCCCTTCCGCCATCAGGACTGTGTTCAAGTGTCACGTCTTCCGGGAAGCCTTCCCTGAACCAGCCCATCCCTGCGGAGCTGGTTGGGACCTTGTTCTGGGTTTCTGCCATGCCACACGCATATCTCTGTCCTGGCACTTTTTAGTTTGGGTTGTAGCTCTCTCCCATTTGGAGTTTGATTCTGAACCTGACTCAGAGAGTGGTTAAATTCTTTCTGAAAGGAAGAGTGAATGAACAGAGGAGGAGGAGCAGATAAAGGAAAGGGGAGGCAGTCTAGAAGGAATCGTTGCTTAAAGCTGGGTAGCTGGGAAGGCCAGAGAAGGGGCGGATTCATCTCCAAAGCAGGGCATTGACAGGTAGAAGCGTCTCCTGTGGGAGGGCGGACAGAACACTCAGACAGCAACCATCCTGACTGGCTGTGGTTTCTCTGCTCCTTCGGCCCTGGGACCGACCAGAGTCAGTGCCCACGGGAGGTGTGGGAGGACAGTGTCATTCTCCCTTTACTGCCATCTCTTCCTTCCGGTGTGTGGTCCCAGGGCCGTGGTCCATATCCAGGTGAAGGACGTCAATGAGTTTGCTCCCACCTTCAAAGAGCCAGCCTACAAGGCGGTGGTGACAGAGGGCAAGATCTATGACAGCATCCTACAGGTGGAGGCCGTGGACGAGGACTGCTCCCCTCAGTACAGCCAGATTTGCAACTATGAGATCGTCACAACTGACGTGCCTTTTGCCATTGACAGAAATGGTGAGTGTCCTGAGAGGGCCCCCCTGGGGGGAGGGGCAGGGAAACAAGTCCACCACCCCCTCTCTGAAGGCCAAGTGAAGGCTCTGAATGTCCATGGCAGGTGATGACTCCCTTGCCATCCGTGAGCTAGGCTCTGTAACCCAGAACTCAGCCCTGCACTGGAGTGGATGTCCTTAGATTATTAGCACAGCCAGGTCGAAGATACCCCCCAGATACCTCAGAAACCTGCTCAGTGAGTACAGCCGCTAGAACTCATAATGCCACACATCTGGATACTTAAGACAGGATGGCTTTCTGGTAGAATTTTCCATGCCGTCAACTCAGCCATACCTGAGTCCCTTTCCTGCACCATAACTTGTGGCACTACCCCCCACTCCAGCCGTCTGCTTCCTGCTCCCAGGAAAAAAGAAAAAAATGCTAAAAGAGAAGATGGAGATTTTTGGAAAACACCTTCTGAGCTTAGAATCATTTAAGAATCTTTTATATTCTTGTCAATGTCCTTTGAGAATTTCTACTATAGTGACAACAATGAAAGAATGAAACCTCCCACCACACCCCAATCCCAAACTGAACTTACCGAACTGAAAACAGTCCTATAAAGCCCTTTGTGCATTTCCCCATCACCATTCGCAAAACAATTGTAGTGCAAACACCTCAGCCAGAGGCCCAGTCAACTCCGCCCACATTAAATGCAATTTTCAATAACTCCATGTTAATCAGATGATAGTTGTTTGCCAAGTGTATTATTTGATAGCATGAGTGTGTGCTTATAGGTATATTATCCCCACTCTGTTTCGAATAGGATCATAGAGCACTGCACAAAGATGCAAAAGTTACAAAACCTGAAGTTCCTCTACCCTGTGAATTATTTACTGAGTGCCAGGCATAGTGCTGGGAACTGGGAACGGAGTGGGAGTGGAACTCAAAACCGACGCGGGCCTGCCATCCAGTGGAGCTTACCATTCAGTGGGAAGAAAGTCGAAATGAAAACTAGAAAGTCAGGTGGCACCAAGGGTGAGGTTGGTGCATAAAGCATGCCGTGAGCCAGAATTAGGCAGTGGATTAACTGTGAGCCTCCCGGTAGCCGACGCCTAGAGGGAAGTACCATCAGTGACCTGCTTGCCAATATTCAGTGCTTCCCATGCTCCTTGACATTGAGATGGGGTGGGGGGGGAGGAACATGTCCTGGGACCTGGTCTTCTGCATCCTGAGAACTGCAGCAGGTTCCACAGCGGATGGGAGCCAACAAAACACCATCATCCCTGATCTCCAGTGGTTTGTGATCTGCCTTGGAAGATGAAATAAAGCATTCTTATAACAGACAAAGATAAGGCAGTTTCCTTATAAAATGATAAACCACGTGGGAATGTTAGAAACCAGCACATTGCGAGATGCTCACTGTGTGGAACACAAGATCAGTGCCTCAGTGCACAAGAAAGTAAAAGAGAAAATATTGGACTTGAGTTAAAGATTGGTTCAGGACTAAGAAGTAGGTAATTTCAATTAGTAGGGTCTGTCAGAACTATTTCCTGATGGCTCTTCCTACAAGCCCTGTGAGGCGGCTGGCTTGTCCCTACCACACAGATGTATGTCTCACACACATCAAATACACACACATGCACACACCACCCTATGAAATATACAACAATCGGTTTGTATTTTTCTGTTCCCCTATGATCAGCTGCGTGGTCTCTGTCCACAAAAGCTTTGGAACTTGAGGGGCGATGAGTCCTTGGTGAAGAGCGTGACCAGACAAGCGGAGATATCTGTGATGAGTGGTCAGGCTCCACTTGACTTCCTGCCTTAGTTCTGGAAAGTCACAGCCCAATGAGAGTTGAGATGCAAATCCTTTCATCTGAGGGTAAACTGCCCCAGTCATGAAGATAATTACTCACCTTGATGAGCCATTTCGCTAACATATGCCAATTTATTTCCCTAGCTGTCTCATTAAAAGTGAGTAATGGTCTTTTGCCAAGCCTCTGCCTCCAACGTTGGTTTACAACAGAAGATGAAGAGGAGACTGGGCACTCCCAGGGAGTGTGGGCCCCCGACATCGAGGTTTACAAAAGCGGTTCTCCAAGTAATGAAGGCAGGACCCAGGGACAGACACAGAAGCGGCAGCTCCCCATTCTAATGAGTTTCCCAATTGGCCCTTATCCATCATTTCTCCCAGCGACCTTCCCGTCTCCTTGAAGAAGTTCTTTGTATGCACATCAGAGAAAGTACTGCTGAGTTCGGGGTCCACTCATTGAAACCGCATGACGGCAGGTAGATGGGTCCTGGCTCCTCCAGCTTGCCAAGCTCTTTGCTTGTTGGTGAAGGAAGGGGAACGGGCAGCAGCGAAGATCGAAGACATTCCATGGATTCAGCCTGGGCTGTCTTAACCCAAAACTCAGCCTCTTTCTACTAGAGGTCTTTGGCCTCCCCACCTTGAATTCCTTCCCCCATGAAATCATGCTGGGAACCGTCCCTGCCCCCTTGTGGGGTTGTGAGGCCTCAGGGAGGCTGTGCCCTGGGGGTGATGTTCACAGGGTACCCGGCACCTAGGGAATGCTCCATTCATGGTGCCATGATTATTAGATGTTTACCTGGGTGGTTGGGACATAAAGCTTCTTCACTACCCACCCCCCCACACACACACCCCATAGATTTCCAGGCTGAAATTATAAGCAGGTAACTGAGTCACCACTCCCTCTTAGGAAGTTCCGGATCCACTTCCGATGGCTTCTTGTTTCCCATCTCCTGGCACTTGGCTGGTCTCTTTGAGATCAGTAGGGACCAAATCCTTATTTCCATTGAACAGATGGAAAAACTGAGTCCTAAAGTATTAAGAGCTTGCCTAACAGCACCTGTGACCCCGGTGGCAGAGTTGGGACTGGAGCCCAGATCACCTGAGCATGGGCCTCTCTGCCTTTCCACCAGTCATGTGATCACACTCCTCAGTGATATTTGACAGGAATGCTTGGCTATGGTATTTAAGTTCAAAACTACAAAGTTACATCTTAGTCCTACATCCATTACATGTGTGAGTGTGTGTGTGTGTGTGTGTGTGTGTGTGTGTATGGGAGAGAGACAGAGAGAGACAGAGAGAAAGAGAGACAGAGAGAGATCTTTGATAAGTTACTTAACCCTTGCCTCAGATCCTCCCCGGTAAAATGGGAATTAAATCCCGTGCTCAATGCCATGCCCGTGTGAGAGGCTGGGTGCATTGCCAAGAGGGGGCTCGCCAGCGTGTCTGCACAAACCACGCTCTCAGCCACACTTGGGAATGGCCAGAAGGAGAAGCAGGGGTCTCCACGACACGACACCACTTGGCAGACTTTTCTCCTTTTCCAGCAGTTCCGTGGTCGGTCCCCAGGCAGCCTCTCCTGGGCAACAGGGCTGCCCTGGCGAGTCAGGAGACTCTGCCTCCTCTGGGCCAAGTGTGCCCTACAGTTGGCTTATTTGAAAGTAAATGCAAACATTTCTTTTCCATCTGAATAGAAAAGTCACACTTGCCCCTTGTGCAGGAAATTCGGAAAGCATAGAAAAGTACAAGAAGGAAGTAAATCACCTGTAATCCCACTAAAGATAGCCATTATTGATGTTCTACCAGTACTTTTTCTATGGGGTTTTTTCTAACAAAAGTAAGGTTACACTCGCCTTGTTTTTCTTTACCCTGCTGTGTTCACTTAACATTCAATAGTATGGATTTTTTCCACCCTTAAAAATGCTTCATAATTACCACGTTCAGCGCTAAAAACATTCTATCTGGTGCACAGACTCTTTTACCAGGCTCTTGCCTTACTATCAGACATCCAGTTTATTATTTTTCACTGTGGGAAATAATGCTTAGATGAACATATTTGCACCTGTATGTGTAATTTTTATCATTTTCCCGGAATCAATTTCTTAGATGTGGAATTGCATGCCCCAAAGGTATGAACAATTGCAAAGTGACTGGTCTGTATAACTTTCCAAAAGGGTCATTCCGATTTTTTAAATGTTTATTTGCTTATTTTGGGGAAAGAGACAGAGAGAGGATGAGCAGGGGAGGGGCAGAGAGAGAGGGAGGCACAGAATCCAAAGCAGGCTGCAGGCTCTCAGCTGTCCACACAGAGCCTGATGCAGGGCTGGAACCCAAGAACCTTGAGATCATGACCTGAGCCAAAGTGAGATGCTTAACTGACTGAGCCACCCAGGGGCCCCAGGGGCTATTGTGATTTAAATTCCACTGAAAGGAGGCTGCAGGCCAGTGTGCTTGGCTCCTGGCACCTCCACCAGCCTCAGTTTGAAAAAAAAAAGAACACCTTCACTAATATGCATGGTACATACTAGCTGTTCTTTGAGAATTATCTTCCCCAGGTTCATTTGGAGCAGGGAAATGGGCCCAGGAACCCCTAGTCACCTGGGCTAGCTAGGAACTCAGGTCTCCTTCTTAGGCACTGCTGGGAGAAATCATTCAAATATGGAAAGAAGAATACAATTGTAACAGAAGCAAAATGGGTGACTTTTTGAGCTTCCAAAAATTTTTGAGTATGTGTCTTATCCACATAGGACCCTCCCCAACACAATTGGTCACCACATTATACACTCATTTTTGACCTAAGGCTTCAAATTCCGGGCTCTGAAACCCATTCTCCCATGTGTGAGGCCGGCGGTAGCAGAGAAAGTACATTTGTTTCTCAGACAGTTTCATTAGGACTCGCTAGGATGTGCGGTTGCCGCAGACTGGGCCAGGGATTGCCGCCTGTGTGTTTATTTGTCTACCATGGTCAATAGCGTTTGGTCTGCTTAATGTCACACGGCTTGTAAACCCTGAGCCTTCCTCTTCCGAGAGGCGTATCTTTTGAGAGCCATTTAACAATAAGGAAAAGGAAAGTTAAAACTTTTTTGTTCAAAATTCAATTTGATGCTGCTGCAACATCGTTCTTGCGGTTATTTTGCAATGCTTCCACCTGCAAGAAATCCTCCCCCGTGAGCACTATGACCACAAGCTAGTTTGCTAACAGAGCCCACAGGGAACATCACCAACCCAACACCTAGCCGCCCCTGTCCTGGGGGGCCCTGAGCTGAGACCGAAGCCAAAAGGTTGGGGGGGGGGGTTAGTGAGAGGGATTCTGAACACCAGGCACAAGGCCAAAAATATATCAAACCCATTTTTATTCAGAGATTTTTGAATTTTTTTTTCAACGTTTTTATTTATTTTTGGGACAGAGAGAGACAGAGCATGAACGGGGGAGGGGCAGAGAGAGAGGGAGACACAGAATCGGAAACAGGCTCCAGGCTCTGAGCCATCAGCCCAGAGCCTGATGCGGGGCTCGAACTCACGGACCGCGAGATCGTGACCTGGCTGAAGTCGGACGCTTAACCGACTGCGCCACCCAGGCGCCCCGATTCAGAGATTTTTGAACGGCTTTGTTAAACTAAATTTTACTTCAAAATCAGTGGCTGCGGGTACATTTTTAGAAACGGTCTGGAGCTGACGGTGGAATAAAAGATCCTAATTCTTGGTCCAGTGTCTCAGACGCTGGACTCTCACAGGAGAAGCCCTGCTCAGGGCCTGGTACTGAGGACCGTTTCACTGGTATTAGGTGATGAGTGCACCAGCTCTTCGGATCTTTAAAACATTATGTGACTTTAGTAATTCCCCAGAGGCTGATTCATGTAGTCCCTGTTGCCTCCACTCACATAAGCCATAGACATCAGTTGAAATGGAAGAAATCTCATTAGGATTTTTTCCCTTAGTTTTGATGAAATATAAAAATATACCTGAGTCAGCCATTAGCACGTTGGTTTGTTTTTAAGTTTCCATTTTCTTTCTTTTTTTTTTTTTTTTTTTTTTTTTTTTCAACTTATTTATTTTGGGACGGAGAGACAGAGCATGAAGCGGAGGGGCAGAGAGGGGACACAGAATCGGAAACAGGCTCCAGGCTCTGAGCCATCACCCAGAGCCTGATGGGCCCGAACTCAGTGATCGCGGATGGCTGAAGTCGTGATGTTAACCGGATGTGACTCATCCACCCAGGCTGCCTCTCTCTTTTTTTTTTTTAATTTATTTTTGAGACAGAGCATGAGCAGGGGAGGGGCAGAGAGAGAGAGACACAGAATCTGAAGCAGGGTCCAGGCTCTGAGCTCACAAGCAGTAGAGCCGGCCAGTGGCTCGAACTCACGGACTGTGAGATCATGACCTGAGCTGAAGTCGGACGCTTAACCGACTGAGCCACCCAGGCGCCCCTAAGTTCCCATTTTCTTAATTTCACTTCTGCTAAAGGATAATGATAACACTGGAGTTCTAATTTGCTGTCAGCTCCACTGTCAGAAAAAAAGCAAGAATGAAATTCTTCTCTGCAAAGGAAGACTTCACTCTCTTGGAATCCAAAATTGAGAAGTGTTCAGTGCACACTGGGCTTTTATTCATCCCTTAGAAGCAAAACTGTATTTCAGCAAAAATAATCAATTAGAATTTTGCTCATTAATTATCAAATATTTATTTCTGAATTATAATACCAAACCCACAGGAGCAAAAACACACACATGACCCAGAAAAATGGTGTGGTCTCTTTCGGAGAAGAGAAATGTCTTTGCCACCAGGGCAAGGAATCTGTTATTCTGTGTAGCTTTCAGAAGAGAGGTCACACGTTTTCTTATTGATTTTACTTCCTATTTGGTAGCAAAATAATGTGAGAAGAGGCAGTGAACATTTCTGGCGACGAGCCCAGATGTTAAAAAATATGTGCCAGGACATTTCTGAATCCCATCTTTTTCCCAGAGATTTCATGGCAGATGAGCCTTGGTACCCTACATCATCAGGGACACAACCACACGGGCACACTCTAGGAGGGACTTTTCTGACAACCCATGACTAACAAATCCACCAGTTGGGTTCCAGATATGTGCTTGGAATCTCCTAGTAGTCCTTTCCCACAGCTGAGGTGGCTCCAGCCAGTGGTTCCTGGCAATCTGCCACCAAGGCACAAGCAAGGAAAGGGGTCATTCCATGCCAGTGAAGGTTAGCGGAGTAGAGAAGGGATTTTAAAGAACGGCAGTGTGGTTAACTTGATCCCAAACCTTTTTGAATATCCCTGCGTCCTCAGGCAACATCAGAAATACTGAGAAGCTGAGCTATGACAAGCAACGCCAGTACGAGATCCTGGTGACCGCCTACGACTGTGGACAGAAGCCCGCCGCTCAGGACACGCTGGTGCAGGTGGACGTGAAGCCAGTTTGCAAGCCTGGCTGGCAAGGTGGGCCATCTCTTGTTGATGCTGTTGAGCAAAGGCAGCTAGGCCTGGTGTAGAGAAGGTGCTAGACCTATCCTGAAAGCCGACGCAACCTATAACTAGAGGAATTTCTTACATGCGGTCACTCTGCTGCAAGAAATAAAGTAGCTTGTTTATTCTTACAACTCCTGGGTGATCTATTATCCTCATTTTACAGTTGAGAATGTCCAAGGCAACTTGTCTCATATCGTGTGCCCTGTTTGTCCAGCTCACCCTTTCTAAAATCTCATGACACTTTTGAATCGATAGTAATTATACCACCGTGTTCGGGAGAAAGTGCGAGCAAGCCTATTTGCTTTATCTAAGGGAGTGAGTTGAGCCAGTGTGTGTCAAGTTTGAATCATCACTCAGTACCTGGGGAAGGTTGTCATGTTCTTTGGGCTAGCACAGAAGGTAGGTACACAAGCAGAGGTTGGAGTCCCAGAATCTAGCCTCTAGATTAAGGAGTTTCTCAAGTGTTGGCTCCAGGAATGGAGAAACAATGGCCTTAGATGGAGGTGGGTTTTTGCCCCGGTTTAGCTGTTTGGGTATGCAAAGACGGAGCAAAGGTTCACGTTACCCTTAGATGACAGAGGTTTATCACTGACCTCAGGGGAAGTAAGGAACGCAAGGCCACGTGCATAGATGGATCTCGCCGAGAATTGGATGGCTTATAGAATAACAATGCCTCTAGTGGTGGCACCAATATTCCAGTGGCCGGGCAGGGATGCTGGACGTATCTCTGGGCCACCATTTTGGTTGGTCACTGGCTTCTGCTTCTGCTTCCTGTGCTGTTGCTGCTACAGGTACCACTCACTCATGACTTTGGGTACTTCTTGGAGTCCTGCTTTGTGGCTTTTGTCTACTGTTCTCTCCACGTGTCTTTAAGCTTCAGAGCCCCTGTTATATTCTACCTGTTTCTCTCCCTCTTTCTCTTCCTCTCCGTATATTTCATTCTTAAATTCCACTTGAGAGGATGTCATTAGCTATGGTAATCATCCGTATTTCTATCGGACAGACTGATGCCACAATACCATAGAGGTCACTGGTCAGACTTTGAACGGGCGCCTATTAGTCAAGCATTCATTCTCATGGTACACAGCAAGGACCCCTGAGGACCCATCTGGGGTCACTCTCCTCAGAAGGCAGCTCTCAAAAGGCTCCTCCCCTGTGCAACTTTATCTCCTTTACTCTTTCAACTAGAAAAAAATGGGAGGCGGTAATTAAACCCACCTCTGGAGAGAGCCAGAGTCGTTTGCCTTTGAACAAAGTAGAGAAGATGAAATGCCAATGGAGGAGTCACGGGTAAGACAGATGCGACAGAAAGAACAAAGTAGATCCACCTATTTTGGGTCAAGTAAAAGAGAAAAAGGAACAAGCCAGAGTGGGAAACTACGTGTCACCAACCTCAGGGAGCCTGGGCTCTGGTTGGTATAATTCACTAAACCCTAAGGGACCTGAGGGCAGGATTCTGTCTCTCTTGTTCACCACTGAATTTCTCAGACTTAGCACATATGTGACCCCAATGATAGGTGCTCAAGAAACAGCCATCGAATGAATGAATGAATGAATGAAAAGCTAGTTGAGTAAAGAAGAACTCAGCTTGTTTTATTTTAACTTATAAGGACTAACCCAGTGAAAGTCTAGCTTTTGAAAAGAAAGCCTGGAAAGAATATAAAAGCTTTCTAAGCAGGGAACATGCTCATAATGGGATTTTCAGTGGGGAGAGTAAAACACAAAGCAGTATCTGGAAAAAGATCCCAATGTTTTGTGTCTTTGACAAATGAGACACCTACAGATTTGGGATTACATTTTTGTACCTATATTTAAATGCCATTTCCTAAAAGCGTTTGTACTTGCTTCAGTGTTAAACGTATGCACAGAAAATCATGTTAATAATGTTGGGCTCCGTGTGTGCAGAATGTGTGGGACGCCTATCCTGCTAGTGCCCAATGCTATTTGTAGCCAGACCGTGAGCTCCTGGAGGCAGAGGTCACGCCCATTCGCTGTGTCTCCGGTGCTCAGCGCAGGGCCAGGCACAAGGCAGGTGGTTGGCCAGTGCTGCATGGATGAATGGATGGTACACGGAAATGTACCTTTCTGTGGAATAAAGGAAACAGGGACAGCAGCGACTCCCTGCATCCCTTCACTGTGTCCGGCAAAGCCATTTAAGCATGTGTAACCTCAGACTCAACTACCTTACGGTGGCTTCTCTGCCCACGTTAGCCAGCCTTTGGTGGCAGAAGCTGACACTGGATTCTGCACCGTGTCCCTCCTCGCTCCAGCTTAGCTCCGGTAGAAGCCACTAGGTCTCTCTCCCCAGCCGTCATCCCAGTAGGTTCTCAGATCATAGCAGGTCACCCAGCTTCTCCAATGTGTGTTAGCAGTGCTCGGACTTCTTTCCGGCTACTCCCATCCCAGCCCCCAGACCTGGAGAGCAATCTTCTCTGCTTCCAGAAGGCTGGTCCACTTTATTCCTCCACTTGGGCAGCCCTCACCTCCAGCTGACCCACCTTGGGGCCGATCCTCTCTTCTACACCAGGTCAGGGCTGCTGCCTTGTAGCTGGATAGCCCTTTCTCCAGTGAAGAGTATACCTACCACCACTGGCCCCTAGTGGTGGGACCAGTCTACTCCCCTCTCCCAGCTTTGCAGAGCAAACTGGAGTAAGCCAATGTTCATGGGTTTTCCTTTTTTAACCACAGGGTAAGCAGGCTGCCCCTCACTTGAGGGGTTGTCAGGTCCCTAGGGGAAAGAGCTGGCTCTTCTTAAAGTGGGTGTGGGGTGAAGCCAGCCCTGTATAGAATGGGAGAGGAGCACAGAGAGAGGAGGCCTTTCAGGGCACCAGTGAATAGTGTAAGGAAGCCAGTCTGGCTTGCATAGGTGGTTGGGACTGTGGGGAGGTGGGAAGCAAGATTGGAGAGGTCAGGGGTAGGGTATGGCTGGCAGTCAAGATTTTGAATGCCGGGGTCAGGAGCTGCAATGAACCCAAGCCCCTCAGACCCAGCCGTGAGTGAGAGGTCTGCGGGTATGTGCCAGAGGTGATTGCCCGGGAGAACAGAGGCTCTTCCCTGAGCTGATTTCCCACAAACAACAAGAGTCACCAAGCAAACACAGTTTGGCAGTTCAAATTCTTGTACCTGTTTTTAGTCATTTCCCTCCAGGCAGGAGCGGGCTGCGGCACAGTGAAAGCAATCCATCATGCTCAGGAACCTCCTGTCTCCCGGGAGCACTCCCAGTCAGCACCATCAGCTTCTCCCAGAAGCTGTCCTGAAGGAGTAAGGGACCCTGCTCACAGCTGGAGCCTTCCTTTCCTTCCCAGGCCAATGAGGGACTGCTCCCAGACTCCCGCGGTGCCCCAGGACATGGCCCCAGTTTTCCATCACAACAACCCCTTCCAGGAGTGTGGGGCTGCAGCTTTCCCAGCATGCTGCTGGCCCTAACCAGCTGTGCACAAGGACATCACAGACCCTGACTCTTCTGCCACCTGCCTCATACACCTTGACCAAGACATGGTCTGCTCGGGCCATGGTTTTCCGTTCTCCATCTTTTTTCTATGGCTGGGTCTTGTCTTCCCAGAAACAATATGAGTTCTATCCTCTCTGCTGGGATTCTGAGATTGTCTTCTGAGATTCTGAATAGGTAGTAGGGGTCAGCTCACTCTATGGGGGTAGGTGGAGCTTTACCCAAGGGAATGCCACTTCCATTCTCAGCTGCCCAGAGAAGAAGTTGGTCCTCCAAGGACCAACTAGACCTATGCAGGTGGAATAGAGAACAAAATCTCCATGTTTTGTCCTGAGCTTGGAGACCTCATGTATCCCTATAGTAGCCCTTACTCATGGAGGTAGAAGATTCTATTAGGAAGCAGGAAAAAAGGTGCCCCTGCAGTAGCCTACGGAAGCCTAAAGGCTGGGTTGTGCCCTGCCTCTCATGCCAGACTTTTGCAGTCTTCTTGGTGTCTGTTTCCCTCTTGCCAAGCCGTTACACGTGCCCGAGCCTGGGCCTATGTGGGCACTGAGGACTTTGGGAAGAATCCACATCGTTCATGGATCAGAGCGGACAGAGGATATAGTGCCCTCAGAGGCCATCGGGATGATAGTGGCAGTGGACCCAGTGGGAGCTGCTCCTGTGGACCCCTCCTTCCAGGGGCCACAGAATGTGTCTTGGAGGATCATTTGTAATTTGGTTGCTGATTTGGGTTTTGTTTGTTTGTTTAGTTGTTACGTTATGTGGAGAAACACATCCCCTCTTTATGCCTTCTTTCGTTGTTCTTTATAATCTCTTAGCCCATCTCTTTCTATGTTGCAAGATGAAAACATTGTCTTCATAACACTTATTTAGTGTATTTTTCCTTTTATTATCGCAAGTCAGATTTTGTGTCTGTTACCTGCTCCGGCCAGTAGAGAAGCAGAGTTCAGTATTTCAAGTCCCTTTATGCAAAACAGTTGCCCTCTGGAGATAGTCACGGCAGACTTCCCTAGTGGCCCTTCCCCATTTCTTGCCCAGACATGCAGCCATTCTGGATTGTTCGTGTGCCAGACCAAGTTTCCAGACTCCAGCCCCCGCAGGACCCCCTCTCTCCTTGCCCCGTCATCGCTGAGCACAAGCCCACGGTGGTCAGCCACCCCTCGCCCCACAACAGTTCAACCAGCACTGTCAGTTCCTAGACCTCCTCTCACGGGCCCAAGTCCTGGTCCCTTCACCTTCACAGTAAGCTGCCCTATTTCATATGGAGAGAAAAAAAAGATGCAGCCACATAACAAGCCACTTTCTCTCTGTTCTTTGGGCTTGACTATTTCCCTAGGTACATCAGATGGTCTCAGTGTTTCTACCATTCCACAAATCAGGCCTTGGTCAGGAAAAAAGGTGGTATCTGATAGAGTAGGGCTTCTGGCACCCGCACACGCACAGGAGCACCTGGGAGCCAGGGTACATTGCAGATCCTGACTTCTTCAGTCTGGGGTGCTTCTGGATGTAGCTGGTCCAC